AATAAGCCAATGCCATACTTGTTATATACTATCTTTTACCTTTCTTGTTATTCAAAATGTCTTCATTCACGTAACACTGAATGCAATCTGGATAAATTATCCAATGGATGTATGTCTCGTTTAGGGAAGAAGAGAAGGCACGGGGTAGTAGAGACGGGAAGACACTAAATCGTCAAGAACCGGGGTTCTTGAACCTGAACTCTGCCCAAATTCCTTAATTTCACCATGAAGCGAAAGGTACAGTTTTCTTCGAGTCTAGTCAATTTCATTTATACTATTAAGTTAATTAATCAGTTAATCAATTGAGTTAATTATCAACACATATATCACAATCCCTACATTACAATGTGTGGCTATGTTAAGTATCATTATTCTACGTGCAGAAATAATGATTTTTCACTTGGGCTAATGACCCACCTCGATCTAGTGGGATCTAATTTTGTGAATTTCATAATTAACATTGATTTAAACGATACTCATTAGTTAATCTTCATCAATACAGTTGATACATTTCTTCACACATCTATCACATCACAACTATTTGTTAACTATTGGTGTGAAATTCTTATTTTTGAATATTTTTAAAGCAATCATTTTTTTTATTTTCATTAACAGTAAGCATTTAAAAATCACTGTGAATCACATCGTTTGGAATGTACCAGGAGGCACTGGCAATGTTTCTTAATAGCAATGTTTTTTTAGTCTAAAATCATGCTGTATGCACTAAGACTAAACTTCATTTTAACTCAATAAAATTAAAATATATTCGGTTAAATTAAGTGGCGTCTGAGCATTCGATCGGCCAGTCTGATTTGCTCAATTTCTACACCGCATTACAGAGCGTGGGTGGGTTGGTACTACTTAATCGCGGGTGCGCCTTCGCTGTCCCGGGCGCCCGGCTATCTCCTGCGGCCCGCGGCCGCTGCCTCTATAATTCATCGCGCCCAGGGCGTGGTATCGACCTCGGCCCATCGGGTGGCACCTCCCGAAAATTGAGTCGCAGGCGCCTCGTGGCGCCGCCAGCTCCAACGGCAGCGATTCGCCCTGGGCCGAGCGCTGGGCTGCGGGGCGCGACCCTCTACACTGCGCTCTCCTCCTTCGAACTGGGTCTGGTCTGGCATTAGCAACAGGGCTTACGATGGTTCCCCTCCTCCTTTAACTAGGATACTGGTTTTTCGTCTTCTTCTTTTGATGCCTACATTTTTGATCCGTGTCTTTTGCTTTGTTTTCAAAAACGCACCCGCCTCCACCTCCTTTTTTATTCTCTTCCCTTTTCTGAATCTCGTTCGACTGTATACGTAAGCTTCCGCTGCTCGAATCCATGAATTCTCGGCTGTCCGGGAGACGCCGCGTCGTTGGCTGGGGTGCCGACGTTTCGCCTGACATGTCGCAGGCTTCCTCAGGGCAGTGACACTGCGGCGCTACGCGCCCGGTGATTTAAACTATCCTGCCTGGGCTCTCGGGAGGGGCAGGACAGCCGAGAATTCATATCGTTCTACTTCTCATTCTTTTTCTATTCGTGTCTCGTTACATTTTCATGCTTCGTTTCCACGTTTAATTTCCTCTGCCTTTCACTTTTCGTTATTTCGTCGGTTTATTTATCCTCGTTCTTCCTTCTTTTTTGCGTTTCCATTTTGGAAATTGTACAGTTATATCACAAAACTAAAACTAGTGGTGTCGTCTGTATTGAAAATCATATGAAACTACCAGAAAATGGAGTTTACCCTCTTACTTTCTGCGGAGACCACCACCTCCAGGAATAAAACATTTGCCCACATTAGAGGAGTAATGACCCTAGTACATTGACATGCCCCGGAAAATATCAATCAAACAAAGTAGCATTGAGTTCATACTTCGCAACAAAACGAATATATATTCACGTGACTTCCCCCCAATCTTGATTATCGTTGGGCACAGATGTGCAGTGTGTTTTAGCACGCAGCTCGGGAGGCACTGCCAGCGTGCCGGACGCGGAATTCGAATAAAGACCGCCTGCCGGAGGAGATTTCGCCGGGACGCCGGTGCAGCAGCGTCCGCGAGCAAGAGGCTCCCCTCCCCCCTCCCCCTCCTCCTGCGCACCGGCCCCTCCGCCCCCCCACCCTCTTCTGAGGTATTGATTCCATAACGGCCACCGGTGTCCGAAAGGCGCGGAGGAAGGCTACCCCGGGCCGCGGCAGCTGCTCTCGCGTCCAATCTGGCTCTTAAAAACGCCTTTTTGCCCACTTCCGTTAAGCACGTGATGTAAGGGTTTTTCTTGATGCGGTCCCACAGGGAGAGATGGCTCAGGCATCGACTAACTGTCCCTAGCTTGTCAGCTAGGGCCGAATTCAGTCGCTTTCTGAGGGGAATTCTAGCGGCCGGCTGCTCTGATCGGTAGTTTACCGTATCAACACCCGGCGAATGCCAGAACAGCACCCTGATAAACGGGCCGCGGACCGTGCGCGATCTTTCTTTCCGCTTCCTTGCCCTATCGTCACCCCTTACACACTCACACGAACATATATTAGACTAATACACATGTCAGAAGGTCGGTCGGAAGCTTAGATCATACCCCGGATGAGATACCTGATTGGGGAAAACCCCGCTAGCAGAAGGTAGGTCGGCGCCGGATGTCGCCATGCGGTGGTGGAACACAGCACTTGAGGGACTAATGACCTTAGTAGTTGAGGTGCCTGGAAACACTAACACTCAATAAATCATTGATGGAGTTCTCAATATGAATGAAATAGCTATAACTAGTAGAAATCCATGAGTTTAAATCGCACGTGAGATTTAAAGCCGAGTCCTTTAATGGTCTGGATAATTAGTGTAATCATCACACAGGAAAAGGAATTCACTATGTCTACAGAGTTTATTCTTCCTAGTGTGACATGACATGGCCTTCTCTGCCCTGACCTGCTCTGTTTTGCCCTATCATGGCCTGACCTTCTCAATCCCACCTTGCCCTTTGCCACAATTCTCGCCCTGTGCTGTCTTGCTTGACCCCGTTACTACCCACGTTTCCGCCAGATTGTGCGTGATATCACCTTAAAACAATAATCGTGGGTGAGTCAAGCTGGCACTACACTACAATCACATCCAACCAAATCGAATCTTTAGTACTCATTTATTACCCCAAAATTAAATTTATGGCTCTTGCAGTTTATTAAATAAATGGTAATGCTGGCGGGACTGTCAAGCTGGCACAACAAAATTTTAAAAATAGGCACAATCGACTCAAATTAATATAAATATTTGGTACTTATTTATTATTAATTTTTTTACTCAAATACAACATGCGTTAGTATTCCCATTTTCTAAATAAACGGCATATGCCCATGGAGAACAGGACAAATTGCTCACCGAATAACTAGATTTACACAATTTGCCTTTTTATTTTTAGAATTGTACCCCTTCGCATCTCACGAACAGAAGTAGCAGTAATTACTATGGTTTGACTATTCTCTACAAACTATAGTTTTTACAAAAGGTAGCGACTGTCTTTTGCCGTTACATCCAATGACGAAGATCTCCAATGCATAGTCTACATACTTTGTCGCTTGCCCAGGGTTTACTTTGTTCTCCAAGTTTTGTTCCAAAATAGGCAAGATACAATTTTTTATAAATCTATGATATTACACATTTGCATAGACAATATGTATTTCCTACATATATATCAAAAGTGGTCTGGATCGCCAAACAGTAGCTGTCTGCATAGGATAATGGTAAGATGGTAAGGATGCACGTTATCTCGCTCTAACTTCTTGAGGTGTTCGCTCCTCTTATCAGATAAGAAATATTTGGCGCAATCGGTGTTTAGTATAAACACATGAAAATCATTCTAAATACATTTGGTTTTCAAATACTGATATAATAAAACTACATATAGTAAAGTATTACAGTTTATATAATTATTCTTAGGGCATACGATAATTACGCTCTAGAAAACATTCAAACTTTGGAGGCAGCAATTTCATCGCAGGTTAGTGTAATCATTGTTCCAAAAAATAATCCATCACAATTACGTTTCACAATAAATTGTGTATTTAGATACCTTCATATTGTAGAAAGAAACTCTCCAGCCGACAGTTACGGTTTCACTCTTGTGAGGTCTTGAGTTCGTGTCTCAGTGCTGAAAATAATGTTTGTTGCATGAAAACACTTTTGCATGTTTACGTAGTAGTATAGTGTAGCAAAGCATTTAGAAATAATGCGAGAAAGTATGTGCTGTTGGAGCACCACTAGTTTAGTTGATCACCACAAATAAACAGATCACGAAAGGAATTATGGACCATGATCTGATTTTTCGTCCCAGGCTGAAGAGATTGTAAAGCGATTCAGAGATTATTCGTCTGATTCCTGCCTGAAGAGATTATACAGCGTATCAGCCCTTAATCACTGTCCAGATTGTAATCATGGTCACACATGATGGGTTCCGCCTCTACTTTGCGAGTACCTAATCGACCATGTAGATACTGGATGTTGTCACATTGTGGCGATAGCAGATATCTACACGATGACAGTTTCTTCGTATTTTCCTTCAAAACGACACCTGCGTCATAAAACAAGCAATCCCTCCAGATGTTCGGACTTTTCATGGAAATTCATGACGCAAAATTCTGCTACAATACATTTCTTAATAGGATACGTTTTCACAGTCATATTTTATAGACTGTTGAAAACAACTTTAAAACTTTGTGGTAGACACCGAAATGAATTTGGAATTTTATTTCATATGATTCAAAGTTATTGTAAGGAGTAAATATTATTTCTTTAAAATTATCTTCAGATTAATTTTAAACAATTGTTTAATTTAAGAATGTCCTGATTGAATAAAATTATTTTTCTCGTGTAATGACATCAAGCCACATCTGTTTCTTATCTTAACAGGAATACAAACGAAACCTTCCGTGAAATTCATTAGTATTATAATAGTTTTGTAGGAATATACGTAATTAAATATTCATCGACGGTGGAAAGAAAATTTTCGGGACAACAGATAAAAGTTGTTCTCAAAGAATGAAAATAAAAACTTTATTTTAAATAATAATAAATACATTTACTTGAAGTGTATGTTAAGTACATAAATAGCACTGTTACCTCATAATATCTACGCTATAGTTCGTCTCCTTCGCCGAAGCTAGAGTAACCATTGAGCATTTCCGGCACTTCAAGAAGTTCCCTTGAAACTCTGCGTGTTCATGGCTCTCGTGAACAGGCAGTTTCAAGCTGAGCTCTCTGCTTTTGTCTTTACTCTCCAACTTCAACGCGCACTTGAATACTTCATCGTATTTTTCAGCGGCATGAACACCCATGTACATCAGCTTGTTCGTCTTGTGTTTCCAAAACCAAAAATACTTCCCCGACCACTCAATCAGCTGGAACTTTTTGTTTCGTGTTGCGAGAAGGGACGAGTGGCGAACCTGGCTCACGACCGTTCCGTCGTGTTCCTTTTCGTAGTGCGTTTTGAGGTCCAGGAAGCGAACGTGCACTGAGCACTCCATGCACTGGATGAGCCGGAAGCTGCAGGCGACCTCGTGCGCCAGGAGGCCGGCGCGCAGGCCGATGTGTTGGCACTCCGGGTGCGCGCACTTCCCGAACTGGCTGGCGATGCCCTCCGCCAGGCGGTTGCGCACGCCCAGGAAGTGCGTGCCGCAGCGCGGGCAGAGCTGCGCCCGCGAGCGGCACCTCCCGCACACGCTGTGCCCGCCCCCGCACAGCTCGATGCCGCCCTCGCCGCTCATCAGCTGGCGGCACGCGAGGCACTGCAGCCGCCGCAACACGGCCCCCAGAGAGCCGGGTTCGTCGCCCACGTGCATCTGGGAAAAACACAAGCCTTTGCTGAGAGCGGAACCAAACAAATAGACGCACTACACTTGGATTTACCCATAACTTCTCTTGAGCGGTTGTTAGCTTGAGCAGAGCCTAGACTGGAGAGAAATTAATAACACAATAAGCTAACAATAAGTAAGTTAATCAGTAATTTTATGTTAAGTTAGTAAACATTATAGAACAATAAGTCATAAGTCGTAGTCAATTGGTAAAATAACTGGTCAATACAATAAATAAAATGAAAATGCATAGTAATAAGCACATTAGGGGTGAAGGGAAGGGGGGATCGAAAATGTAAAGGGCAGAGGCGTTTGTCGAACAGTTATCTTCTGTGGCGCCGTTTGATTTCAGCGTGCTGAGGAGGCCAAGCACTGGAAGGAGACGGCGGGACCGCGCCAGAAAATAAAATAGTTAAAATAACGTCGATAGATTAGATGTACTCGGCTTCTGACGGCAGATTTTTCCCCTTCAGGGTTTTTTTCCTGAGCCGTACCTTGTGGACTCTTTTCCGCGCTTTGATGCGATGGCAGAGACCATTTGGGGTGAATACCAGAATTAGAAAGATTAGAACCAAAAGGATTTAGGTATTGTAATGGCTTAAAGGCCTTCGGCCTAGCCACATAGGATCAAGTAATCTAATTCGTTTGTAATCATTACCTATTAAATAAATAAATAAAAAATAAAATAATATCAGCGGTTACTGTGTTTTTCAATCGGGAAGGGGAACGTCCCCATAGTGACGCCACTATAGTGATGGGTAAGCTCCCGATTGGATAACACCGTAACAGCTGATTTACGTCAAGTGCAGCTCTAAATAAATCGAACTACAACATAAGCGGGGATATCGATCGGGAACGTAGAGCTTATGCCGGCTGGGGCGGTGCCCCACTACGGTAGGTCGGCGCCGGACCTCGCTGTCCAGCGAAGGAATAGCACCGCCTCCCCACGAGGAGACCAACATTCGATTACACTACACTTACGGGACAAATGACCCTAGCAGTTGATGATCTCTGAATTACTAACAATTTACCGACAAAACACATTGAGCAAACAATGAAAGTTATAATCATTTTTTCGACATGTAAATAACTATCTCGACCAAGTTATTCAGCTAGTTCCTTGTGATCCACTGAGCAAATGCTAAGATGGCCCCTGGTTTTGCTTCTGGACGTATATATAGTTTCACTATGCATAATTTTTGTTGAGCTTCTTTTGATTAATATTGCTGGGAGTAGACATTAAGGTGTGGGTTGCTATTTTGTTATCCATATCATAGAAACGAAAATGTGGTTCGAATCGAAAATATATCGATGCAAATGACTTTTGTATTACTCGGAAGCAGAAATGTCTAGTTTTTAAATGTTGGTAATCCCGTTCCATTGGCTATATCATTAAAATATGACATACAAAAAAAGTGAGGGGAAAGGATTCTGAGGCTCAAGAAAACGAGCGTAGATTATACTTCATCCCAAAATGTCACGGACTGTTTTGACGAAAATAATTCGAATGGATTTTGAACATGTACTTTCAGTACAAAATATAAATTCAATTTTTTAAGCAAATTGTGTACATTTATTTGGAGAGTTGACTCAAAAGAAATCAAAATTCCTTTTCTTCCTGAATACATAGATCTCAATCTAGTCTGCCCTCTCAGATTCCTTTCGTTCGGCACTTCATTGCCCTACACACCTCATACAACCTTAGAAATATATTTGTCATTTACTTAAAAAAAACTCATTCAAGATAATACAATTTTCATATATCTAACACTCCAAACCACAAATTAAAACACGTCTGCGTTCTTAATATATAGCTCTATAACGTTCCATCTCTTATTTTTGACAAATGAAGTTGAAATGAAACACTAAATTATTTGAAATGATATCATAGCTACTGAAAGGAGACAATATAAACAAAACAAATAAATGAATGTGATTGTAACTTACTTGTTCTGTCGAATCTCCCATTTACTCCCTCAAAAATCTGCCTCCTGTTGCCCCCAGACTTACTCGCATCCCTGCGACGAAGCGACTGACGCGAGCTATCGGCTGCGAGCACCTCCATATGAAGCGTATCTCAAGTGCGTCGCCAGAATGTTGTGACTCAGATTCGGAGAATATTTATGACACCTTATCTCATTTCGCACATTTCCTTTCGATTTCGTGACAGGGATTGACATGATTCAAATAATGAATCAGAAGCAAGCAGTCTTCTGCAAGCAAGCAAGCAAGTCAAATAAATTATAACCAACATTAGCTTTTGAATGTCTAACCCAGTTTTAAGATTACACTGAGAAACTTTAGTATAATGTAACCAGACGTCCCGTATTAAAGGGGACAGTCCCTTATTTTGAATCCCTGTCCTGGAAAACGGGACGCTAAAATATCCTTTTTTGTGGCAATAACTTGTCAGCAAACATGTCAACAATATTAAATTTATCGTAATACATTCAGTTTGCTTGACCTTTGTTTTAAACAAATTAAGTACGACAAGATATTGTGTTTATGTGCCACGTAACCAGTGTGTTTAGAGTCAGTTGTGGATTCTAGGAAGATAAAATGCAACGGTGGCGTCATTTCAACTTGTATAAGCTTTATCGTTCACGACATCGTTGTGGGGATATTCAATAATCTGATCCTTCTGAGAGTTCATGCGATTTGTATGCATTATTGATTGAAAAATTCTGACCGGGCAAGGATAAAATTCTGAACATTTGTAGCTGTGGTGTCGCCGACGCATTAAACCCTTTTAAAAGTTTTTTCATGTGTTAAATATTTCTTAATTTGAAGCCTAGCATTTTCAAGTAATTTCTTACATTATCTAGCATTGTATTTATTAAAGAACTATAGTAGCTAATAATGTTATATTTTCGTTTTGCTAATATTCACAAAAATGCATCTTAAAAACACCCATTCATCGCTATTCTAATATAAGGCCATTCTCTATAATTATAATATAAGGTTCCCAAATGTCAATCACAAAATCTTCCATTAGTACATTTGATTCTTCCCGGGATTTTTGTATAACACTTCCATATTGTTTTTCCCTGATTTGCGAAGAGTTTAAAACTTCACAAACTCAGTCTCAGACATTACTCATAGGTCTAGTTTTCTACGTATTCACTTGTTCACTTGGGATTCGTCAAATTATGATATATATATATATATATATATATATATATATATATATATATATATATATATATATATATATGAACTGTATATGTGTTTGAAAATCTTCTCTCTTCGACGGTTTCTACCCCATAGGTTTTGGCCGTTTTCCGATTCCATAAATTCTCGGTCCTCCATTGACCCTCTTCCAATCCTTTCTCCTCCATAACTTCATGTATTATTTCTTCCAGTTAACCAGGTTACCATCTTCTCACGTCTTTCTTTCAGGTACCAAATCTTAAAATGTTGTTTTGGCCATCTCTCATTTCGCATCCTCTAGACATGCCCAATACCACTGAAGAGCTTGCATTTCTCTAGTCTTCTGGTTATGGTTTGTTTCAACCCCGCTTTTTCCCCACCATTCGTTTCTTATTTAATCCCAGTCTTGGTTATTGCAAGATTTTCTCTAAAAGTCGAGCTTCACCTCCGGGGGAACCCCGGTAATTTTTCTTGTTTTCCTTTACCGGGGGTCGTTTCTTGTTAAAACGGGGCCCCCAATTGTTTTCTGGCCGTCCCATTATAATACTTTCCATGCATACTGGTGGAATATGTGTCGCTGTTGTGTCTTGCCTTTAAAACACTTGTCCATAAAGGCCATGCAGAGCTTTAGATTGCACTTTCCTCCCATTGGCATCTAGTAGTATATTTCATCAATTTTCCCATGCGTCAAGTTAATTACAGTCCAAGATATTATTAATTTCGAAAACAGCTATCTCGTCATCAGCGACATTAATATTAGACGGCATTCCTCTATGCAAAATATTAGTCCTTTCTTAAGGTTGATTTTAAGTCCCCATTTTATCGTATTCTTGCTTTTAATTGCGAAGCATATACTCCATATCTTCCCGATCATGATGCCATAATTACTGATCATTGCTCCTAAAAAAGCAAGAATGTAAGCATATGTCATTTATGGGAACTCCCATTTGAGAAACTTTCTTGTATCAGGTTCCAAAGCTTTTATAACAATTATTAAGAGAATGAGCGATAAGTAGCATTCCTTGCTTTAACGCTTTTTTTAGTTCTAATGCTTCGGGTAAATTGTCTCCTCCAATTTTAAAGCACGCTTCTGTTTCTGGTACATTTTGCGAACTAAATTAATCACATTTTTCTTTGCACTTTCATCGTTCATTGCTGGCTAAATTTTAGCATCTTGGGAAACATGTCATCTGCTTTTAACAGGTCAATAAATGTCATATATGTATCATATATTGTGCTTCCATTTTTTCTAATTACCTGGGTAAGCCAATGGATGTATACCTCCAAACTGACCCCTTTCCTTCAAAACCACTTTGTTCTTGCTGAAAGTTATTCCGCTTTTTGTATTTTTTTTCCTTTAGGAATACTAGCGAATAGCCTAGCTATTGATGGGATGACACTAATTCCTCTGTAATTTTCACAAAGTGTTTGAAAATTTATTGTCAAAAATATGATAATATGAAACACTTCACTCCTTATGTTCGAAGCAAAATCTCTTTGGACATTTCTACGGCGCGATTCTCTTGTCCACAACGATCAGTGTTGCCATCCCCGTGGAAGAAAATTTTGGTATCATGAGCCGAAAATTGCCGGTCGGTACTGGGGTTTAATCAATGCCCCCTACATACTCGTTGATTTTTTTATATGGATTCTCTACTTGGTGTTAATTGAAGGCTGCTACCTGATGAAATTTCTACGTAGGTGTTTATGTATTTATTCATTTGTTTAAAGTTGATTTCCAAACCGAAATATTTGTGATAAAGTAATGTTTAACATCTTCTTTTACACCTTTTACCGTGACAAAAACTAAAATTTTCCATTTACATGATTTCAAAATATGTTCGCTACGTTGGTAAAATTTACTTTTAATGTATTTGCATGCTATTTTGCAACATATTCATTCGATGAATTGATAAATATAAACGTTTTATTTTAAATCATAACTTTCTTGGAATATCCGTATTGATTTCGGAATTGTAATTTTAGAATTGTATACAGAAAGAACTAATTCAAGGAATAAAGCAATTGAAAATTGAGAAATGTGTTAATATGATAATCAAAAGACATATGTTATCTTCCATACGTTTACGAGATCACAGGTTGTTTGAAAATATGTTTAAAAGCCGTCTCCGTGTATGTATACTCTATTTGGTCTTAATGTGAAGCGTAAAACCGATTAAACGAATAAGAAAATGGTGTAAGACCAAAGTTTTCTACATATTTTGGCCGTCGTCGGCTCGAAGAGGAAAGGGTTAAGTCTGAATGACAACAGCTGTGAGGATCCTGTTGAGAATTGAGATGAATGAAACGTAATCCTGTCACAAGAGTCATAACCGATAAGGAACTTTGCTGTTAGGAATGAACTGATTGTCAATGGCAATAGAATGATTTGCCTAATTGTTCCTTTCTCGCTGCGGAGTAGTGAAAAATGTATGTAATATCATGCGAAAAAACGCCAAATTTTCGTCACCAATAAGCTGTGCCACATTCAACAATTTTAATAATGAGAAAGGAAAGAGAAAAGATAAGGAATATATTTAAATATTTCGAAGGTTTTCGAACAAAACCTCCTAAAAATGAAGCCAGCAAGTTATTCGGAGTCACAAATATCTAAGAAGCATTTTTAAAGTAGTTTTAAGACGAGCAAGCATTGTTCGTCAAGCATTGTGATATAAGTTTTAAAGGACAAGTAACGCTCTACAACACACACATTCCGGCATTACTACTACGTTTTTGCCATTTTGGAAAATTTTGAGAGTTTTATGTTTACGATTACAATAGGTTATAACGATTAAAATGCTTGATCTTTTCAGAGTTTTCATAACAGGGTTGGACTTTCGGGCTTCTTCTAATGTACGAAGTAATCAAAATCCTACCTATTTAACCATGTATAGAAGTAAACCAAAATCAGGACATCCGACTGTGTCCTGTCTCACTATTCACGATGGCCTAGGAAGTAACGAATTGTTCGTTCAAATCCAGTGATTCAAAGAGTTTGATGAGTTTCTTCGAAAATCATGTAAATCATGAAAACATCCACCAGAAATTAATGAGCTGTGTCACTTACGTCAGTTTCTTCTTCAATTTTCCTATTGTTTCCGTTAGATCAGTAGTTAATCACTAGAGGTCGCTAATTAGACATACTATGCTGCCATTTGATGGTTGGATGTCTAATTATTTCTCTCGTTGGTTTGGTTTTACCCGGAGAAATAGTCATAACGAAACTTTACATTTTTTTACCCAAAACCTAAACCAGTATATCTCACAAACTATGACTTAGAAATCAATTCTAGTTACATCAATATGTGTTTTAATTCTTGTACTTTCAGAAAATGCAATCATTTGTTGCATACGGCTGAGAAATGTGGCCTCTAGGAACATTTAAGTAGAAGCCTTGTTTTTTCGCTTCTTCAAAGCATTGAAAATAGTAGTCACTTTCAAGTGCCTATATCTCCTAAACTATTAAAGCTACAGCGCTGAAATTCGCACACGAGATTGTATGTATCTTTGACTTCATTTTGAGTGTTAAATTAAGTATCTCATTTGAAAAGCACTTGCTTGAATTGGATGAATTCTACACTGCTATTTGGTATAATTTGACGTTTTTTTTGCGATTTTTGAAAAACTAAGCTTCTAATCGAAAAATGGGTAGAACCAGTGTACCTGCCATAAAATTTCGTGCAAGGTTGGGGGTTCTTACAAAAATCCGTTACATGTCAGAAATCGCAAAATTTCGTCGAATATATTGACGAAACATTACATTTTCGACCCAAAACCTAAACCAGTATAAATTTCACAAACTATGTAAAAGAAACAATTCTGGAGACACGAAT